AATGAGTTTAAACTTGGTAAATAAATCTCTGTCTGTAAGTCTCGATCACCTTGTACTTGATTAGCCAATACCTGAAATGATTTGCATGAATATAGTGCATCTGTATTTTATCCTTTTTTGGCAATTATAATTTATCTTTATATATTATCTTTCAGCTGTCTCTATAAGAACTATATTTATTTTTATACTGATCAGTTGATACCTGACATAATTTAAGTAAAAGCACTGCAAATGAAAATGGAAAATTTATACTTTCAAATTATGCTAACACTCAAAGTGCAAATTTAATTACCATTGTTGGTTTATACTTTGAATTCTTTACACAATTCTAGAGTTACCAACCCATGATTTTGGCATAGGGCTTACAGATTGAGCATCTGAAATACGCCTTGCATTTCTCCTTTTAGCTTTTTTTTTTTCATTCCAATAGTTTGAAACATTGGAATTTTAATAGCTGTCCACCTTTAATTTGCACTATTGTAATAAAAAAGTCGTAGTCCATACAACACTTGCTTGTATTGTCATTGTCCATTTCTATGCAAATTTAAGATCTAAATCATTTCAAAATAAATAAACATGAAAAATCCCTTTTAATAAACATCCATTCACTAAAAATCACTAGTGGCTGGGGTCCTAAGCAGCCACTGCACACCTATCTTACTATTTTTTTCATTTTATTATGTTTGTGGGTAAGGTTTTGCAAGGAGGGGGCTGCAGATCTATTGTGCAAATCATGATGTTGTATAATAATGACATTCATGTATATATCTTGCAGATAAAAGAGCAGACAGAGTTAATATATACACGTAATGTCTGTGCAGTAGGCAAATGATATCATTATATATATAATATGTGGTTATAAATCTACAGTGATTAAGATATCTTCAAGTAATTAAGAGAGAATTGATCAGTATTGCATTTTCATAATTTTCATGCTTAATTTTTTTGTATTTATAATGAGAACATATCTTAGCAATTAGTTCCTATCTTCATGTCCAAACATTTTGCATGGAGGTGCATGCTAAAGAGAAAATATCTGAATATCATTAGGCTATTAACCAATATTGATCCACCTGGCTGAAATCTTCCAATTTTGTGGTTTTTTCAAAGTGGAGTTTTACAAAAATGTTTGAGAGCATCCTTATCTGCTAAAATGTATTTCAATCAGCAGCAATTTTGGAGATACTTGTACTTACATGTACATGTATATATAAATATGATATCAGTACACTACTAAAATATCTTATCTGCTCAATACACACATGCACTTCTACCGGACAACTTAATGCACAATTATATATGATGTATAAATTATTTAACTTATTTACATGTATACCTGTCCCATTAAGAATTTATATATAATGTATATAATTTGTCAGCAGGTAAATACATTGTATGCATGCATGATATGCACAAGATAAGTATGTCGTGGGAGGAAAGATGGCAATGTCCTATGCTCAATGTGTGAGGTGTCGGAGACATTTATGAAGGGGGATAATTAATGGAATCACTTTGAACTATTTTAGTCATCTTTCCCAAACTGGGGTTTGCTATATGCCTCTTGTCAAAAGAGAAAAATGGTCCTCCCTTGTCCTTGCCTTAGTTTGTCTGAATGAAGACCCTATTTGCATCTCTGCCAGACACCTGTGTGTGATTGTGTATTTGACGAGTGGGAAAAAAGTTCATTTTATGGAAAGGGGGGCTCTTTGATTTTGGAAAAAATGGTACAGACCGAAATTTGGTCGGTCTGGCATTACAGTAACTGCTTGCAACCGACTTAATATTATTGGTATTCCATTAGATGGGGATTGGCATTAGGATGATGGAATTCAAACAATTGTCAATATTAGCATATTTATGCATTTTTGTCTTACCCTTCGTGTAAAGATCTTGCATCTCTCATCTGTTAGACTGCATAATGAAGAACTTAGAATCAGAATTTTTTGGCTGATACTAGACATTTTTTCACATTGAAATTGACATTATGCAGATCCAAATGCATGTGTTGGGCAACATCCAATTGAACACCTGGCAAAGCGGATGACACAAAATTTATAAAAATGAGAGAAAATATTTGAATTTGTCTTATGCATTGAATTGTGTATTTGATTCCACTCTGTTCATCTTGATGTTAAATTTGTAGGCTATTCTGCAGACTGTCACAGGCTACTGAATGGATGACCTGGACACAGATATATGAATTATGAGGTCTCCCTCTCTTTGTTATACATGGACATGAATAATGAACCCTCCCCCTCTTTGACATTATAACCTAGACATGAATAATGAATCCTCCCCCTCCTCTGTACTTTGTGGCCCGATTTTTGGCTGCAGTGACGAACACACAGTAAATTAGGAAACTATTCATTGAGGTGACCCCCTCTATCATATCTCTTGAGTGATGTGAAATGTCATTGACAAGTACAGTCAAAATTCAATTTATATCCTATTAAATTCTTTTACCTGCATGTCTTATTCCATCCACTGTGGTCACCAGTTTGTTTGTTTGTATTTGACCAGCATCACTATCAGTGAACATAAAAATGTAAGCTGGACTTTTATGCACAGTAGGGTTGGATATAACTGGAATGTTTGTGTTCAGGACACTCAGATTTTCTGAACTTTACATCATTATGTTCATCTTGGACCTCTTGTCTCTTTTTTTGCTTTAATGGTCAAAGATGGTGGTAAAGTGTTTGTCATTTGTCTGTCTGTCTATTCTTAGCAGTCATGTTAAATCCTGCTTCTCCTTCAGATATGATTTGATTTCAGTAAAGCTTGTATAATAGTCAAATAGACTTTATGTAGACAGTAACATAATTTTGTGTATCAGATTTTGATTTTGACAGTGTTAAAATTGTTAACAGTAGAGGTACAATCTCCTCAGAGAATTCTGGGTTTTTACGGGGAGTTCTTACAGTAGAATTGAATCTATGCATGGGCACAATTTTAAAATTTTGCACTTTCTAGAATAATGAATTTGAAGAATGTCATGTTTGTCAATAGAAAAGCATTAATTTCTGTTCAGGGTTAATTGCCAATTTCTATAGGAGTTTAACCTCCATAAATCAATGGATGAATCTCATGGAAAGTTATTTAATTAGTCCAGGTTTAATTTGCACCAAATTATGCACTAATTTATAAGTGCATTATTTAACAGTATCATAACCTATTAAGGGTCACATGTCATGATTTCTTTATTTGAGTGTATTTTAATTCATTTAGTAAAAATGAAAAACTTTTTTTAATCTGGATTTTATTTTGAATTTACTTTTCATACTACTGTCAGATGTGTCATTAATTATTTCTAGGCAATGTAAAGTTTTCATTCAGTTTTGTACAATTCAGATTTTTTTCTTGCATAAGATGCCATCAGGATTAAATTATTTACTTGTTTATAAAGTGCCATAGGGATCCTGAATGCCATGGTTATGTATTTATAAATGTTTTATTAGGTGTAAAACTGATAATGGGAGGTATTAGAATTCATCATCATGGTGCTAACAAAAAAATGCCCCAAGAGCTAAGAAAATACATGCATATTATCAAGTTCCTTTTATTGGGCTATGATTATTATGGGGCCGGTGAAAATTCGGATAGAGGCATCATCAAACAAGCAAACGATGCTATATTATTTTCTTAAAAGAAACTATAGACGGGAGCTTTTTGAAAATAACACTGATGGATTAAATGAAGATCAAATGAAGTTGTTTTCAAGTGGTCATTTAAATCGGGTGCATGAGGTGTAAAGAGCTTTTTAAATGACAATGGCTGGTCATTGACAAGGACAATGAGTTTGTGCTCTATATAAGTATAAGAAGATGTGCACCAACTGCACTTTTAACTGCTTAAACCACACAATTTTTTTTTCTGTTTTCGAAGTATCCTCTTTAAAAAATTTTCTCTAGAAAATTTAAAACAATTATGGCATGCCATTTTGCCCTCTTGTGCTGTAAATTTCATTGATGGCAAAATGTTCATTGTCATATTTTCAAAGACATCTAAGGTAGGGAATGAATTTTGCAGATTTTGCTGTTCAGAACTGTTATGGACAGGATGGTGTGTATAGAAAAAAATTGGAGCAATGACCTTAGAGTGTCAGTTTATATACTTAGGCCATCCACTCCTTGATAGACTATACATTAAAGAATTATTATCACCATTTTATCAAAATTTAGATATTAAGATTATTCATCACGAAGATATCTTTCCAATTCATATTATATGTTTTATCTTAAACATTTCAGAAAATGTTTAAATTTTCTTACAAATTTCTGGTATTTTATTCTTTTTTAAATGAAAAGTATGATGCATTTAAGTGGAGAATAAACGACTGATTTTAGGGGTATTATTAAGGAAGTGATATCTTTAGAAACTTGAAATTTTGTAATTTTGTGAGAGCAGATCAAGACCAGTTTTGTGGTGTTTTCAATAAATTATTTTGGAGATTCTTTTACTATTGACCCAGTGTCGTGGGGCGATTAGGAAGCGTATCTAAGTATAAGAGAATTGTATCCCTCATCAAATACTTGGAGTGTAAGGGTCCCATCACATTCTACACTTGAGTTACTTTTTATCGATGGTGTGAAGTGTTTGTACAGGGCTTATCAATACCAGGTATAGCCCTTTATACAAATGTAACTTTGGTCTAGGTGACCTAAATAACGACTCAGGTGTTGGGTAGGGTTCCCTTGTCTGGTCCAAATACTTTGTGGCCAAGTTAATGTTCTATTGAGAGAAAAAAATGAGGTTTTCCTTCAGAGTGTTTCATTTAAACTTTTTTTTTCCATGCTAAGGAGATTCAACTTATGAATTACTTTTGCTGTGCACTCAAGCGAAGCAGTTTGTGAAAACGCAAAACCCATTAATCCAATCAAATCTACCTGTCAGATTTTGCTAAGGTTAAAGTGCAGGCCCTCAGCCAATGACTGTGAAGCTAGGTGTACTAGAGCGACACTGTGATACTTCAGTCATACAAACATATATATATCCTGTGCGATTACTCACCATTCAGATTAAACAACTGCCTGCTCCCGCTTCACTTGGGCTCTTATTTACCCCCACACGAAAAAAGATATTTATAAACAAATTCAAGCATGCCGTCTGCAGTCAAGTTGTGCAACTGTTTTCTATGTTAGAACAGCCACTGGCACTGTTTTTCTGTGAGAAATCTCTAAAAGTGCAGACACACCTGTTTTTTCTTTGGAGAGTGTTTTTTAGTGTATTTTTTTTTCTCTGTCGAACAAGCACACCTGTTGTGGATTCTGGGTATAATTAGTGCATTAGGTACAGGACAACCACCTCCATTGATAACTGCATGATAATTTTGATTTGCGAAGGATTTTTTCACAATATTTGGCTGTGTTGTTGACTGATGTTTAATGTGTGATCGATTTCCCCCCTTTGGGACAAACCCTATTATGCCAATGCTTGGTGAACCTTCCTTGGGATTTCCTGACCCCTTGAGGGGGAGCCTACTGGGACTGCCACCTTATAGTCACCCAGGATTTGGACTGGGTATGGGACCCATTGTGCCTGTCCCCCTATGGAGGCCTGTAGCTACCCACCCCTCAGCTCTTATGTGTAACAGTATTGGTTGCCCCTGCAATAGATCGTCTGTGGCAATGAGTGAACTTTTGGACATGTATAGCAAGAGTTCTCCCCCTTCCTCAGATCCTTGGAGGCCATGGTACCCAAAACGCTCAGGTAATCAAGAAATTTTAGTTTTGAGATGAGAAGAAATCTTTTTTGCAGGTGAACTGACTGATTGCAGAGAGCATGACATTTATTGAGGGTGCTCTGTAGTTAGACTCTTGAGTGTTGCCTTGTAGTTTAGTGTGTACCTGAGACAGCTATGGGAGGGGGCTTAGAATCTAAGATTTCATGGCAATTGTCTTTCTATGACTCAGACTTAGTCTTGCAAATCAAATAATATTCACATTCACAAGAAATTCCAGTGCAAAAACTTTGATTCTGTCTGTACATGTTCTGAAATATTAGAAATCACTGAGATTTTGATGATGGTAGTTGGATGTATAGACTTTTTAACACTGCTCTGTCATTAATGGAGGAGTTTATTTTAGCAGTCTTGCTTCCAATTTGAGACAATGTCATTAAAAGTTGTATTTTTATAGCTTAAAGAATTACTAAAATGGGACACACCCTCACAGATGTTTGCTACAATTTTGCTTTAAATTCTTATGATCTTTAACATTAATCAAAAAATCATAATACTGACTTGTGTAGTCATTATTAAATTATTTTTTAACTAACGGTAGTTCTACGTTTTCTCGCCCAATCATGTCTTTTATTGTTTAGGGTGTATAATAAACAAAAGCAGTTTATAGACGTCTTCACTGCACGGTTTTATACCTTTTTTTAAGTGGGTTTTCAGAGGAAAAATGAAAACTGACATTTTATGTTTCTTCTAAGACCAAGACCCTGAGAGGAAGCAATTCTTCTGGAAATGACAGATGACGGTTTAGGTGTAATTGTCAGTTACTAAGAATAGCCCATTCATAAAAATCTTAATAGGCCTAATTTGGCTGTAAGTTACTAAAAGGTACCTTTTTTTCTTTTGTAGAATTAAATTTAACAATTAAATGTATTTTAAATCAATTAAAAATACGTTTGTGGCTTAAAAATCTTTTGTTAATCAAATTATGTTTTGCACTGCAATCCATGCATTATTTTTCAAGGACTAAATGCGTAGGCAATTAAAACAGATTAATTTATTGACAGATGTGGCATGTAGTAATTCTGTTCACCACTCGGCACTTTGAATATGTCAATGAATTGAAAACGCGATTCGAAAATTTACATATTTAATTGCAATTTATTTGTTTACCCTCATAGCCCAAAGGAAATGTTTTAAAGTACCTTACACAGGTGGCATTAATGATTATATTCACGTAATTTTGTAGTTGCACAGATTAGAAAAAAGAGCTACCTGCAGGCAAAATTGAACCCATTTCACTAGTATTTTTTTCAAATTGTAGAAAATAATGGACTCAAATACTCTTGAAATTTACAAATTTGCTCTATAGTTTTTGTCAAAAATGTAATTGTCCTGTAACATTCATAGCATCTCTACCATGTTAATATGATTTTTTTTTTTTTTTTTTTTTTTTTTAATAATTTCACATTCTGCATTGCACAGACTTTTGAGTAAGAACAGGGAATAAATATATAATTTCATTGTCTTTCTTTTAATGGAAAATATCACTATTAAATGGTATGCTTTAGGTATTATTTTTATGATCAAAGCATGCTTACTATTGAAATTTGGTTATAATTTTATTATCATTGCCATGAATTGTGCAATTCAGTTAATTTTAGTAATAAAGGGGAAATAATTGTAATTCCATGAAATTATTAAGGGGAGATAAGTGGGAGAATTGGCTTAATCAGTTAATGTCAGCTCTTCTGCTTCCTGGGCAACTTTTGCTTTTGATTCACATTGATTATTCCTGTTTGAACATGGATTTTAAAGTTTCTTTATTTGTCACCGGGTGATGATGAGCTGTTTGAGGAATGAATAGACAATCACTTCCTGCCAACTCTAAAATTATGAAGATGCTTTCCGTACATCAAGTGCTTCAATTGGTGGGAAAATCTCATCATTTTTGTAAAACCGATATTTTGTCAAAAGTTGTCGTCTGAGGAAACATTAAGATCAGGGAGAGGGTTAATCACAATAGTTGTTGCAAAAAAGAAAAAAAAAATTGAACCTGGATCAGGATACAGTAATTCATGTATAATAGCTGAAGTGTATGGACTTTTCAGGTCAACAGATGTGGTCTGTTTCCTTCTCTGTCACCTGTCACACAGTTCCACTTCACTTCAGGTGTTAAAAAAAGGGCCTAAAAAATACAAAAAGCACTACATTTTTTATTCTCAAACTTTCAGAGCTATTAACATCACAATTGGTTGTTCAGCTATTTCAATCAACAAGCCAAAAAAAAAAAAATTAAAAAATGAGGGGAAAGAGTTTTTCACAGGGTTGGTTGACTTGTGAGACCAGTATCTTAACCATGCATACTTTTAAGTTTTGCATGCTAGAGGTACAGTTTTTGTGAATCGCGAACTGAAGGATCACTAGCTATGATTTGTTGGCGATTAGTGTCGTGAGTGATCGGGTGTCACAGATTTACCTGGGCTTACCTGGGAACAGGTATTTCTTTATTTACCTAGCTGATATTCATTCACAGACTTGAGGGCCCATTCATAAAACTTTTATCTACAATATTTTTCCGTGATATATACGCACAATATTCAATGTCGCTGGCGCGGCAAACATGAAAGAGATTTATTAATATGCTGCAAGGCCACTCTCCAGCATTTGATCTGTAGGGATCTTCTTTCTCAATGTTTGCACAGTTTCTTTTTTCTTTCTTTCTTGAGTGTGCTGTAAGAGACATTTGAAATCAAAGAAGAGTTCTTCTCTGTCAGTAAAATACAATAAAATATGAGTCAGACTTCATAAAAATGTGTTCCGTTCTGACAGAGATCTACCACTGCAAACTGAATGGAACAATTGGAAGGGGAACCAGATGTTGAACATTAGACAGATTTTATTATTCCATAAGTCATTATGTCATGATAAATTGATATATTTAGCAATTTTTCCCATTTAAGCTTTTTCTTAATACTTGCAATATTTTATAAGTTTGGAATGTTTTTCACAAGAAAATTCCCTATCATTGTGGATCCATCTTTGAGTGAAGGGAATTATATGTGTAGTTAATACTGTGACATTAAATCATAGGAATTTAAGGGTAAAATTACCCTGCTAAGCAAGGGGGCTTTAGATCATCTCATTAAAAAGAGGATACATCATATCATGTTTCTGTGTTCCCTTGAGATAGTTAGCAGTTGGGATGTGGGAAGTTGCTTGGGTGTAAGTTCTTCACACTGATACTTAGTGAGGACTTGGGACAGGTTTTCAGACCACCCTCGTGGGGTCTTTTTCCGAACTGAGGACTTTTTCATCGCAATGGGTGGTCTTTGATGTGATATTACAAAATAGAAATTGCATCTTCTAACAAATGTTGCAGAGAATATGTCTTTAATGAATTTTCTCGAATTGTTAGTTGTCAAACTGTAAAATTACTACAACTTGTCAAAATGATTTCGTTTGAAATGTTAGAGATGGCCTGTGTACTTGTAAGAGTTACTGAGATTTGGTTTCCGTGTATTGCACCAAAGTGATACATTTATGAGAGTGGTAGGTGGTCTGTTGTGCACATATGAATTAATTACTGCATTAATTAATTCCAGGGATATATGTAGTTGTATCTCCTCTTGACAGCCTTTACTTAGCTCTGGCAGCAGTTACAATGCCTTCCTTCTTGGTGGCCTGTGAGTGGGTTGCAATAATATTGCATGTTGGTGGTGAACACAATTTTGTTTTGTTACATTTTACATATCTGACAATTATTTATGATATATTGAAATGTTGGTAGATTATGTATAATAATATCTTTTTTTTTTAAAAAAAAAAAAAAATAAAAGTTTGGCAACTTGATAATCACCGTGTTTTCTTTTTTTTTTTTCTTTTTTTTTTTTTTGCTTGACAAAAAGTGGCCATGAATATGTAACTAAACATTTTAATGAAATCAGACATAATTGTTTCCTAAAAGTTTTTGCAAGTGTTAAATATTCTGCTGTCTAGACATAAATTGGTGCTGGATCTGGTTGCCTGCCAAGGAGTGAAATGACCGAAGCAACCCAAATGACACAAGATGCATTGTGTATTAGATGAACCAGATCTTGAAAATGCACCAAATGCACATGATAGATTGGGCTCTTTGTTCTCACTTTGTATATATCTATCAGCTTTGTGCTTATGCCAGAAGGATAAGAACATGGCAGTTGCACTTTAGAAGTTGTGATGGAGATACATCACTTCCATTATCAATGATTAAGATACTTGTCAAATGTTGTTTGTGAGATCTAAGTGTTTTGCTTTTTAAATCTAATAGATTGTGATATTTACAGCTATTTACAATCTTCTTTTCTTTCTTTTTTCACAGTGTCTGGTGAATCCTACTACAAATCCATTGACTCCCGCCAGTCACCCAGCAAAGAACTGCCAACAAAGCTGTTAAAGCAGGATCGTATCAAAGAGAGGCAGGAATTGTCCCAGACCCTACATTACGACAGGGACCACCTCCTGAAACTCAAAAACAGATGTGTGGCACCTCAGCCAGGGTAGGTCTATAGAAATATTTCACATCCTGCAACAGGTGGTTGAAACCTTGAAAAGCATTGTAAAACAGGACATTCTAAATCAAATTTAACCAAAACAGCTGTGCAACAACCTTAACCAGCTATGGTAGCTAGATCTTCAATTTATTTTCCTTGATCACAATTGAAGTCAATAGGAAATAAAGTGACCATTCAATATAATCACTTGAATCATTATGTGCATTACCAATTGCATTTTTGAATTTAAAGTATTTCATTCATTCCATTAAAAGCCCTTTAAGGAAATACATTGCAAGATTGAGGATGATCGTCGTAAGATTTTGATATCTTTTTTGCTACCTTTTAATTCAAGGTTGCTTGTGAAATTCCAAACAAATCTCCTGCAGATGTTGGGTTCATTTCAAGAAGTGACTATATAATGTGATGGGTCAAATCTCAATGTTGTCTTCTGCCATTTCTAGTTTAAATATGGTCTTTACCTGTCAGCAATGAAATGCTGCTCTTCTCATAAAACATTCTTATATAGCAGAATACATTAGAACATTTTTACATCACCGGCCCATCCCAACGGAAGAAATAAATGTAAGATGGCATTAAATCACAGGCAAAATATTTTTGGCTTTTCTGTTTTGGAATAAATTTTATGAATGAGGTCGTCAGGGGTCTCGTGTTCACAGGTCACTGATGGTGACATGCATCACTGGCAATGTAGGTCATAGATTCTTGAGACAATTTCTGCAAACGTTTTGCCTTTTTTGCAGTATTAAATGGATCTTTGATAATGTGCTAGCCACTAGAGTAGTGTGATGTTGATGTATTCTAAGTCACTAACTGGTTAAAAAGTAAAAAAAATATCTTCTTTATGGCAGTAATATTATTAACTGTCTTTGATTTCACACACAACCAAAATTAATCAGATTCCAATTCGGATCCATTAAAAAACCACAAATTTTTATCACCAGGTGACATGTTAAAACACAAATGGTCATGCCTGCATGATACATGGCATGTAACAGGGGATATCATGTGTATTAGAGAGCTTATAAATCATAATGTGGTCAGGCCAGACCACATGGAATTCTGTAAGGGTTTGAGAGATTGACAAGTGCTGACCACAAAGAAGTTTGAGTCATATATTACCCTGGAAAAAAAATCACAGGATCATGTCCTAGGGTCTTATACAATGAAGCACCAATGTAAGAAGCTTGAGTGACTCAGCATCTTGGGAATCAAATCACTTGGCATGAAGACTTAAGTAAATTTGTTCTAAAGTAGAAGATGGGGAAGTTTGGGGAGGGTTAGAAAATTTTTCTGGGGAAACAATTAAGCTGGCATTAATGCATTGAACTTACATTTGTATACTAGCTAACTTGACATTCATTGATACACAAATATTTCAGCTGGAGCAAGATTCACCTGAAAATTCAGGCTGTATTTTGATTAAAAATTGATTGAGTTAATATTTTGACATTTATTAACATTCAGATGAATGTATTTGGATGAATTAATTTTAGTACATGTCCTGCAGTCTACTAAATGTGTTACTGGTAAGGGGAAGGGAAAATGGAGGAGTTGAAAAAAATATAGTGGGGGGGGGGTTAAAATTTTCTGGGTGTATTTAATATGTACCTATACTGAAGTATTTAGCCTATTTTGGATTGCTCGGTCAGAAATGTCCTCAGGTTTCTGTCTGAGGTCTTTTTCCTTCCTTTTATACATAAATAACGTAAGTATTTTTAGTTTATCCAGCCACCCTGAATAGAATTAACATTTTTTGTTATTACCCACCTGTGTAATCCACAAAACTAACATTCCTTTTGGTACCTAAGATTTTCAGTATTTTGAATGTAAACATACTGCATCCATAAATGATTGTATTGGTACCATATTGTATCATAGATCCTTGGTGGGATTAGTGGGCAGTGTTTAGATGGGGGCAATGTCACATATTGTACCAGCCCCATAAAGCCGTATTTGACGAGGAGGATAAATATTGTCTTGTCCTTTCAAACCAGATGTTTCTACTGTAATGAATATTTAGGATTTCAAACGTATATATTTATCCTACACATTACATTTTTTTTCAAGGGTCTGTTGCTTTAAGAATTAAAAAAAAATTTGAACTGAATGTCTATTTTATAGCTTCTTAGTATCTGAGGTCCTGGAGGACCTTAAAAGGTTAAAGTATGACCACATAGGCAGGTGGGCGATTTTGTGGTCAGTTAAATACATTCAACTGCTTATTATCTATTACCATATTATGCTAGTAAGTTACATTTTTCTTTGCAGCAGTATTTATCTATCAACAAAATTTTGAATGGGCTGTACTAGTATTCACCCAATCATATATTTTTACCCTCATAGATTCAGACTTAACCCACCCACCCTAGAAATTAATGTACTGTATCACATGATCAACCAGTCGGCGAACTTTCCTGGAGTTCATTGAGTACATGTAAGTCTTTGACAAAGTCTAGGTCAGATTGTTCCCCAATGCTCAAGCTTCATTTTTGGAAAAGTCCCAGCCGTTTAAGTTAATTAAAGAAAATGACTCATTCATACTTAGAGGACAGTCCCTATACATACATGTAGGGCCAATTTTTCTTTGGTTAGTTTTCTGAGAGAGAAAAAAAGAGAGAAGTTTGTTTGGTAAAAGTCCTTAAGTAAGCTCATTTAAGGATCTTTAATGGAGGCTCATTTAAGTTAGGATCAGAGGTCTGTGCCAAGTGTATCTATTTGCCAAGAAGTAATTGATTATTATCATGCAATACCCTGACACCATGTAACACATACACAAAATCGGGATTAAAAAAAATTCAAATGATTTGTGGAGCAGTCTGGGAAAGTTTGACTTTTAGGAACAATTTGATGCATGTGATTGCATGTTTTCAAAGTGCTGTGGCATAATTTTTCATGTAATAACCAGCACAAGTGGTTGTTTTGCTTTTGGCATGAATGATAGCTCTTCAGAAAAAAGAAAGGGGGTAAATTGAGGATGGTGTGAACCATCAGAAGGCTCGGTTTTCACAAGTTACAAAAACCTTGTCGAGAACAGTCGTTAACCTGCTCAGAAGTAGACATCCGTTCTTGAACACAGGTTGCGGCGCTTCCCCATGTCTGCTGCTGCGCATTTATGCACTGCACAATCTGTGCAGCAGTAATGCAGGAGTAGTGAGTCACGGAAAACAGAACAGGTGTCCCATGACTGAGAAAACACCGTCTTGTTTACATTATGTATTATGGGTGCAAAAAAAAAGAGATTAATTCTGTCTCATATAAGTATGTAAACGAACTTTAAACCATTGAGCTGAATACCCCTTCTCTTTGAACACATTAAGCCTATATACTGCTGTGAGAAGATTGTCTATTGCGTACAAGAAGCCTTTTTTTTTTTTTACGTGTTTGGTTTTGCGATTTGCATTTCAGGGTACTTATTTCCATTGACAAAAACTTGGCTAACTAAGGCAGAATGGGTGGAGGGATTAGCAGTGTAAATGAGTCACTTTTTTTCTCTCTTTTGTGCCAGGAGATTTGCTATCTGTACCTGAATTAATTATCTGTCTTGTTTCATCTGGGTCACATTCTCTCTGCCTTTTGATACAGTGTCCTCCAAAAGATAACAGGGGTGCTCTGTATCATTGTAATGAATAAAGCTGAAGTCGACAACTGTACCTGGTAACTTATTGGGCGCCAGCTGATGCATTTGAAGGAATCTTATTTTATTCAAGAGAAATGTCAGGGTCCATAGAAGGTTATATCTTCAGACTTGAAGTTATCAATAACCAATTGATGTCTGAACTTACTAAATTAAATTGTTGTAATTGTGTATTGAAATGAAAAAATCAATTGGAAAATTTAATTAAGGTCACTTGTGAGGTTAGTTATAATATTTTTCTAGCAGACGACTGGCCTCTTTTTCATAGCTGAAGATGAGTAAAGAACATATCAACAAACAAATAGAAAGATAAACAACATATTCTAAGTTAAAATGTCTAGCCTTTTATATGAAGTTAAGACAGGATTACATCAGAAATCAAACACCTGTTTAATGTTTCAATTATGATTTAATGCCGACATTTTATTGTGTTATCTTTCAGTATTATTATTTTCCCTCCTGTATTGTTAAAAACATTTATGAATCCATTTTCAAAAATATGTTTCCTATAGCTTAACAGATAAGATTAAAGTGAAGTCCATATAAATGACTCACTTCTCAGCAATTTTTTTTTTCTTCCATGTCTTGGAGAGTATAAAAATTATTTTATTCCAATGTAAAGAAAATCAATTCAGGTTTTGAATTAAATTTTGGTGAGTAGAGTTTTAACTTTAATTAATAACTTTTTTTTTTTTTCAGTCAACCTCCTGTAGAAGGAGAAGTGTATAGAAATGGTGACCATCACATTTCCCCCTTGGATTCCTACGCACTCAGACGACACTACATACTCCCTCCCCAAGGGCCAATCCGAGACCCCCGGGGATCTCCCCCCAAATATTCCTCCATAGAATCCCATGATGCTCCTCTGAATCTCTCATTGTCTAGTTCCTCGCTGCCCTCGACTTCTTCAGCATTCTCCTCCCAAATCCAGCGCCCCTCGGTCATCACTTGTGGTCCCACAGCAACGGAGAGGAGCACTCACTATAGCAGCGTGTCACCCCCTCACACTCCTCATGCAGTGGCCAGTCCCAAAAGTCGACAGGTCATATCTGGTGAGGACAAAACTCTATTTACGTAACTGGAAAATTAACTAATCGTCTAATTTTTGGCATTATTAGTTTGTCGCTAAAGAAAAAAAAAAGTTCATTTCCATTTCATGTCATTTTTGTACTAATTTAAACAGCGTAAAACAAGGTTTGTTTTTAAGTGCATATTTATGAAGGATATCAAGCTCATATTTATCATATGCATTACCCATTTTAAATCTTAGAGGCATGTCCATGAAGCAAATTGAGCTAAAATTTTATTTTTTGAAAACATCTTGACATCTTTTTCAATGAGATCTTTGCACAGCTAAAAGTGCAGAGTAGAACTTAAAATATTTTTTGACCTTTGCCTACTGAAAAACAGTTTTGGAAATTAACTGCAAAAAGTTCATTTACTTGTCTAGATTGTATTTCAGAAGTAAAAATTCATGTTTGGTGTTTTGTTTCATAGTTTGTATGTCGTGTCTGGGTTGATAATATACTTTTATATTCAGATAAGGAAATCATTCTTTTGCATGCAAGGCTATCAGAATGTACTTTCTGTGCAAGCTTGAGTGATTCATGATTTGTGTTTTTTGTGTTTTATTTTACTAGCAGAGATTTTCAATTCAGTGAATGACTTTTTCTTGTGGCCAGGTCGACCATGTGACCCACATGTAAAAAAGGAGCTTTTTTATTTAAAAGCTGCACTTTAAGTCAGCCATAAAACTGCTGTATTAGATATAGCAAATTGTCATCCACTTCATTTCCGTGACATACAAGAAAAACATTTTGTAAAGCTACTTAGATTACGTCAAACTCACAGGTGATCGAAGGGGGAAAGAAAAAAAGAAAAGTTCGCTGGTCACGTCAAGTGGTAAAACTTCAGCATGACAAAGGCGGATTTACATATCCGATATTTTTGTACCCCATGTTTTTGGAGGTAACTAAGTGGCATGAAAAAAAGTATTCATTATACTAAATGGAGGGTCTTCGTGTCAATTGATAGCCAAATAACTTCACACATGTATAAGGTTTCCTCTCTTTTTCTGCATGTTCTCACCATTTTTTTCATAGCAAAATACCAAGGGAGCACTTTTTTTGAGGAAGGAAATCTGAAACATTTAGTTATCAAGGTGTCTGGAAACTTGAACATGGCCATTCAGCAAACAAGAGACCATAAAGCCTCTCTTTCAAAATGCTGGTACGCAATCTGCATTTCAAAGTCTGATCTTGCATATATATATGCGTGGATATTTAGATGTGCAATTTTTAGGTCCAGAAAATGTTAAACGTATTCCGTCGTTATTGGGTGGAGCATTATGCACTCGTTTTATCCCAAGATAAATTTCCGTAATTTGTAATCCAATACTTTTCTTCATTTGACTTCCAAATAAGCAGAGATATTTTATTTAAACTACAATCAGTACTGCATGTTCATAAGAAAAAAACTTTGATAAGTGAAGAGATGTGTTGGCGTTTGCCCTTTCAAATTTATCTTGTTTTGATACAAAGATATAAACATTTAACAAAAAGCAGTTGATAGTTAGATTTTAAACCTGAACACCTTAGAACTTTAACAAAAAAAAATCTTATGTGGTGATAAGACAAGCAGATTTGTATTTCTGATATTATTAGCAACTGTGCCCTGAGGGTCATAGAGGTCTTGCGAGGTCCTATCACATCGGAAACAAATAAGCACCCTTTACATCAGCATTCAAGCATAGACTGCCTGCACAAAAAAAACGAGGGCTTTATTTTGTCGCAGGGTATGATCAAAAGGAAGGGAGGATAATTAGAATTTACCCCTTCAGATTCAGTGATAATGGGCCATAATTTGTGTTAGTGTGTCAAGATCTCTGTTTATTTCTATGAGTATGTAAATAAATAACTGTGTGGCGCGCAGTTCTATTAAAGTGCCTTCTCCCAAAATACTAACAGAGCACTTAATACGTTTTTACCCAGATATACAGGGTGATATGGAAATTTAAAACACCATTTTCATTTTAGAAATTTCCATTTAAGGTGTCATTTCTTAAGATGGTCAATCATCGTTAAATTGAAACAGGCAATTTTCATTTTTTTTTATCAGGCCTATCAAAAAATTATAGTTATTCATTAGGAAAGCAAGAAAGGAATATGTACTAGAAAGTTCCCCCTTTTGTGGTAAAAACTTCTTCCAAATCTTAGGGGTATCAGAGTGTATGTAATTCGGGCCTGAAATAAGGGGGGAAAGGGACACGATTGTTCCTCAGTTGAATACTGCGAACGCATTGACTCCCTTATCATTAAACTATCAGAGAAAGCTGGAGTCAGTAAATTGTTTGTTGAAGTCCTCGACCATACCATGTGGCATCCACTTTGTATAGTTCACTCGTAATTTGGTGATGGGTACTCAGGGCCTTTGAGGACATTAAGACATTTAAATGGGATTGCTAATTTTTATTTTTAATCCGTGTCAGTAGTCAGTTTACTAAAAACCTGCAAAAAGTGAAGGTAAAACTTGAAATAAGGATATCATTTTTGATAGCAAATTACAAAAACGATAATATCTTGTTTAGTTTGTACTTTTCTAGACTGACAAGTGTACTATACAGTCTATTCAGCATATCTTTATTTCTGAGTATAATGATCGACAGGTGTTTGCTTAAAAAAGTAAGTTAACATATTTTTTGATTAGGCCTTTTTTATTAGCATGTAGTGAAATGTGTATATACATGGTGATTTTTTTATACAGTTGGATCAAAAATATTACTGGTTGGATGATTTTCAGACAAATTCAATCAAAACGTATCACATGACATAGTTTCCTAAAGTAATATTCAATTATTTGTTGACAAGTTTTCAATCTATGAATCTTTTATTTTTTTGTGGTCATGGTCAGCTTGATGATTGGTCAGGATTAGTCACATGACCATTATTTTAGTGCTTTACTGAATGCAGGTTTTTCTCTATTGGTGAATAGAATAAATAATGTGGGCAGGTTTTTTGGCAGCAGTGTTAGTGTTTTGCTTTGGAATGAGTCATCAAAGATATTGCTCTAATTAACACACCGATTTAATCACTTTAAAACACATGCACAAACAGCAGTGCCCTGGTCGACCTTAAATTATCAGTTAAAATTTTATGGAAAGCAAAACTTTGAAATTGCAAAATGCATGTGCAGACAGGAAAGAAAAATAATTTCTCAATTGCACAGTACAACTGCTGTTTGCTTTTCCCAATGAATGATGATAAAGTTCTTTAATGAGCAATGATTAATCGCAACCTGTAGAAGCCATCAAAAGTGGGTCGTAAATTAGGAGGAGGGATCTATCTGTTATAGCCCATTTTACGTACACATTTGTCAATTTGGAATTTAATGTAAGACATGATGCTTGTAAATGAAGAAAAACTGAGAGTCTTCCATTTATGTGGTTAGCAGAGAGATCAAAGGGCTTTCACTTTAAATCGGAAGACTGTTGTGTCATTTTCGTGTGTTTTGGGAATGAGTCATATCTGCCTAGTCACTTTAATGTTGTTGAGTGATTAGTTCAAATTTGTTAATTGTAACACAGGTAAATTACATGATACGAATTCATTCATAGCTTAAATTCAACAAAAAAAGAATCAGTGAACATGCAATGTAGCATTTCAGCGAGTGCAATTTTCCAATTAAATAATTTAAAAAAAAAAAGAAAAAAAAAAGAAGAAATCTTGGTGTTCCGATCCTTGAATTCTCATAATCTGCTAACTTATTTGATGAATGAAAGAATAATATTAAAACATCAGGGTAACCAATGAACTTGAGAAACATTATTTGTGTTTTTTGGAACTTTTATGAATGAAATATTTCTTGCTTATATTTCTTAATCAAGCTTTGATAGCAGATTTTTTCACTGAAATTTTATCAAATTTTATCACAATTCCAACTGTCATTTATCTTCACAAACCGAAGGATTATTTGCTCAAAAAAATGTAGAAAAACCTGTTTCTCTGAATTTATCATAGGAATTGATAGAGGTCTAGGAAAGACACATGTTGTGTAGCAATTGTTAACACTTAGAAGACACCAATGGATATCTTGCAGATTCCTAAGGGTTTATCAATGACTGTTTCTACAGCTCAAGGAAGACGGAAGATCCAGCAATAAAATTCAAAGTATTCAATATTTTGAAATCATTACTAGTGGTTCTTTCAAGTAATGTGCATGAATTTGTTATCGATGTTATGTTTTCTTTGAGTTGAAGGAAATGGACATGCCTCAATTTAGCATGGCGTTTGAAAGATAAAACGCTCATTTTTTTTGCATATCAATTTTTCATCTTTTAAAAAAGTTTTTGGATTTTAAAACGGTTTAATGGCTGGATTTTTTAGAATAGATTTCTACTTTCAAAAATTCTATTACGGATGCAGAATTGAATTGGTGCATCCTCACTGAGTAGAGAAATAAACCTTTCTATAACCCAGCATTACTTTTTTTACAAGCGGATTTGCTGTGCTTGAACCCTTCTAAATAGCATGAAAGTTAAAGCATAATGACATGAGTACAGTACATATTCATTTGTACACGGTACATGCTATTTTAATGTAGCAATATTTTCTTCTCTTTGTAGCAGGATGTGAGCCAGACATTGAAGAGCATTTCAGAAGGTCACTGGGGAGGGACTACATGACATCAAACTCCCCCAAACTTGTGAACCCTCCTCCTCCTCCCCCTCCACCCAAAGTGCCCACACCCCCAGTAGAAGTAGCCAAAACAACAAGGAACAGTGCTTCACCCAAGGAAGTGGATAAGAATAATCCAGCTAATGTATCCATCACAGGTATGTCTGGAGTTATGTACTTCAAGATAACGCCAAAAAAAAAAAAAAAATCACAGAATGGAAGGAGGATGGTTATGTAATAGCATTTATTCATGCAGGGAAATATTTCATCTTTGAAGGTGGATTTTCATATCAGTTGATTGAAAGACTTAGGTAGAATTAACATTGATTTTGCTTCTTTATCTGTTTTTTTTTTCTTATCCTCAGAGTAAAAGAATTGTCATGTATCATGAAATCAAAATCTTTCAACTTGTATGCTTTCCTTCAGTCTATGTAAAAATGAAATATTTCTTTTTAGGTTCAGTAGATGATCATTTTGCGAAGTCACTTGGTTCCAACATGTGGTCAGCCTTGAAGGCAAAGAATGACCCTGAGGTCGGGACAGTGGATGACCACTTTGCCAAAGCACTAGGAACCAGCACCTGGTTACGAATCAAGAAGGAAAAGGAAACAAATGGCGCCACCTCCCCTCCATCATCGCCGCAGCAACAGAGACCAAACTCATCCCTGGTGTCAACATGATAGCAGAAGTGGTGAAAATCAGACACAAAAATAAACTGTACACTGCAGCATGGGATTAAAGTGAATCCCTAAACATTATACCAGTACTGCCAAGGAACAATCCCACTGAATCCCAGTCAATGGGATCAGTGACAGAAGTCCTTCATTTGTACTATTTACGGACACTCTTTGTGCTTATGTAACGTACTGTGTGAAGATGAATTCTTGCACATCACAATCTGAGCAGATGAACTGGTACTGTGGACAAGCAAGCAAAGTAAAACCCTGCTCAGTATTTTTTTTGGTGACTCAGTGTGAAAAAAGACACCTTGTGCACCCGATTTTCCTGGTCCCTTACTCATACCGATACCAAATTGTTCTTGTAGCACATGGCAGTTTTTGAGCTTGTTTTGCTTTCTTTTTAATCCCATTCTGATGGCTGTGGACAAAAAAAGACACACATCTACGCATGCTCGAGCTCTGATCTCTCCACGCCTGCAGATGGGATATTCCACAACTTTTTGGTGCTTTATTTCTTCTTGCTTAATGAAAAAACTTTATTTTTTGTTTCATTTTAAAACGAGTGTCTGGTGCTCATCATGTTTTTTTTCAGCCATGGTCTGAAAGTTGCTCACTGTTAATGTACATGACAAGAGTGGATGTTGATGGTGATGAGTTCTTGATTTATATGTTAATAATACATGTAGATATTTGTTTACACAAGTGGGTAAATATTTTAAATGTATATAATTGTGGGATGTTATTGGTTGAAGAATATATTTGTTTATCATTTTATGATTTACTGTATGAAAGAAGTTTTTTCTCATTTAATGAAATGATTTTTTTTTAACATCAATATGTTTGATTGAAGATTTTTGTTTTGATGACCATATTTTTGAATGCAAAAAATACATTCCATCATGTGTATGTTTGAGTGTCTGTGTGCATGTGTGTGAAAATGATAGCAAGGTTAGCCAAGCCGCACGAGCGTGACACGTTATTTGTCAAAATGCATCTCATCAAGCAAGCATGCTTCCTGTATAGGTCATAGAAGAGGTCTTGAGGCATGTCAACACAAAATGGGCGGAGGCGTGTGTTTATATAATACGCCAAGTGGACCATGTCTAAACAATCTAGCAGTAATGACTAACAAATGATCTACATATTTAAAAGTATGATGAAATCCCTTTGGCAGGGTCATTATATTTCTATTGGCAGATAGTTGATTTAAGACAAAGAGAAAAGGCAAATGATTAGAGGAATTTTAAAATGTGAACTACTAGTCGTTTCTGTCTGACTTAAATTAATTCATATGTTCGACACACCTGTGTTATTAAGGTATAAAATATGTACATGTAAATTAATTAATGGATATCAGAGAGCTTCTTTTTTTTTTTTACCTTTTAGATGTATAGGTAGCAAATTTCATTGAATAATTACTTTTTCATTCATTCGTCATTTTTATTTATGGATAGAAATGGTGAACAAAAACTAGAAAACATGAATGAAAGAAAAACAGACAATTGCAAAAAAAATGCATCTTTTTAGTCATACATAATAGTTATATACTTCGGTGCCTCTTGATACATGCTTTGATGAACGCTGACTGTGCTTGAATGGATGAAAGATGAGGTAACTTGAATGAGAATATGAGAGACAGAAACAGAGAGATGGATGCTAGGATAATTATGGCAGCTTCTGATGCTGAATAGATGTCAAGGGTGTGTGACAGAATGTAAATATAAATACGTATATTACAGTGTGAAAAGTTATTGTTTGTGTCATATGTTTCTCTCTGTTACCATGGTTCCACTTTTCGCTTTACGTTGTGTATTATGTTCAACTTGTTGTCATATTTTAGTATTTTTGACTTTATTGAGAGAAAAATATAATAGAGAAAAAACTATTGTGATGAAAAAAAATGAATAAAAGTACATTTGAATATGACCAGATTTTCCTTTATTTGCAAGACTTGTCAAGGGGGATAACCCCAGAGGATAGCCAAAGTTTTTCCAGATATTTTCCTCAGATTTGTCAGAAAAAGATCCTCCTTTGACCTTTGATAGACTGGTGGAGGGGAAGGGGCTGAAGGTCAAGTCTTTGACCATTAGATGTAATCATTTGTAGGTCTAGGTCTAAAGGATTCCTTATGTGTCCTTTTAGGTTGAACCATCAACTTGGTTACTAGACTAAGTTGCTCATATATAGGAATGTACATACATTTGCAAGGTTAGGCAGTTAGGCTGTAATTGGAAACTGCTACCTATAATTAAGATATGTAGTGGAACCAAGTCAGCTGGGTGTTGAGTACAGGGAGGAAAATGAAGTTAATCATTTATGGCAAAATTTACATGCAGGTTAATATAAAAAAATTGAAATGGTGGAAATACATTTACAAGTGCCTGTAAAAAAAAATATTTTTTAAACACACATGTATGTCTGCAGTTGTGTAATGCTGTATCATGTGGACTGAAATAAGAGACATCTGAGTTATGACATTTTACATGGGATCTGAAAAAAATCAATGCAATGTTTTTGTATATGGACCAGTACTCTTTGCAATACAAGTCCTTAGTTCTTATGAAATATTTTCAGAGGAGATGGGTGAACATGACGAGCGATAAGCCTATAGTGTGACAAACATGAAGATGAAAAATTAAATTTCAATTAGATCAAAATTTTCCTTGATATTTCATCTATCATTAAAATATACTTTATGTAAAATCTCTATAATTTGCAAAAATCCCTCAAAGATTGAAATTATTTGCCTGTGAAATATTAGACACTCACAAAAGCGGGCAAAAAGAGTCATTTTCTCATACTATAATACTGTTTATCGATATGAGTGGGTCTTCGCTCCACCTTTTTGAAAGTTAATCCTCAAAGTTTGCATAAAAATATACATTTTTTGGTTACCAAAAATATGGAGCAATGACCCACTATACCTTAAAAATATACTTTTATGACATAACATTCGCATTTTTTCGAGAAATACTTGAAGTCCATTAAGTCAAGGGCCATATCACAAACATGATTTAAATGCCACTATCCGGTTTTGTGTAGTCTAGTGGTTAGCGTGCTAGTCTCGAAAGAAAATAATAATCAGGATTTTTATTGCTAGGGTTCGAACCCCACGAATACCACATGAATTTTTTTAATAAAAGAATAAATTTTGCCGAGAAAATTTTCCTCAGAAAAGTTTTATTTATCATAATTTCATAAATTTCAATAATGAGAACTTTACTCTAAATATTAAATTCACAAACTGAACATGATTTTTATATATCTGAAGCTATAGGCTTTCTGCACGCTATGTTCGCCCATCTCCTTTTAAGATGTTTTCTCTGTAACCACTTCAACTTTTTTGGCATGCATGGTCACCGATTTTAATGAACCTTTTCTCTTTGTTATAGCTCTACACCAAAAACAAATTAAAAAAAAATTTGGTTGCTATGTGTCGAGGTTACCATGGCAATGGCCGGAAAATTATTGAAAAGTTGATATTTTCAGCCACTTTGAATCCTTATTTATCTTGATAAAGAGCAAGCATTCTGAGAGTATTGCATTAGCAATACTAGTCCCCTACCGGCAAGTGTAATCTGGTTCCTGTTAAGAATTGAAAATGCCATAATTCCGTCAAAAATCAGTGAAGTGGGACGAAATGCAAACTTGATCTATTACTAATCAAGGTGACTTTACCTTGATTAGTTATAGACCAAAAATCAGCTCAATATCTGAAAGCGTTTAGAAGAAAATTGCGGAAAACCCCTAAAAATTGAAAAGGCCGTAATTCCGTAAAAGATCAATGAAGCGGAACGAAATGCAAACTTGATCTGTAACTCATCAGGATACACTCACATACCAAAAATCAGCTCAATATCTGCAAGCATTTAGGAAAAAAGTGCGGAAAATCAAGTGGGACAGACAGACAGAGGGACAGCTAGACGGACAGACAGAAAGACAGACAGACTCAGAGGAAACCTATAGTCCCCTCCGGTTTCACCGGTAGAGGACTAATCTGAGAGTATTGCATAAGCAATACTAGTCCCCTACCGGCAAGTGTAATCTGGTTCCCGTTAAAAATTAAAAAATACCATAATTCCGTCAAAAATCATTGAAGCGGAACGGCAAGTGTAATCTGCGAACGTGTTCTATAACTCATCAAGTTTAAGTCAAATGCCAAAATTCAGCTCATTATCTGCAGGCGTTTAGAAAAAAGCGCGGAAAACCCTGAAAAAATTGAAAAGGTCGTAATTCCGTCAAAAATTATTGAAGCGGAAGAAAATGCAAACTTGATATGTAACTCATAAAGATACACTCACATATCAAAAATCAGCTCAATATCTGCAAGCGTTTAGAAAAAAAAAAGTGCGGAAAACTAAGTGGGACAGACCGACAGAGGGACAGACAGACAGACGGACAGCTAGACAGACAGACGGACGGACAGACTCAGAGGAAACCTATAGTCCCCTCCGGTTTCACCGGTAGGGGACTAATAAGAAAGCCAGATTAACCATTCCCGTAAAAAACATTACACCTTATTGCCACTTAAGCTATTAGGAAATTATATAGAATGTAAGTGGTAACCATGGTTACCTTTTGATAAATTTTAAATGCTGTAAAACTCTGAAAAATGATCAGTATTCACTCATGAAGGATTTGATTGATTGATTGATTGATTGTATCTTGTTTTACGTCCCGTTCGAGAATTTTTCACTCATATAGAGACGTTACCATGTACCGGTGAAGGGCTTCAAATTTAGACCTTTACTCGGCAGTCAGGGCCATTGAGCAGTGAGTGATCTTAAAATTTATCAAGCCAGCGCCTATCGATAAACTTATAAGGCCTCATCCGAATGACCCGCAACTTTCACTTCGCAGCGAGCGCTCTACCGACTGAGCTGCCGTGACGGTCCAATTAAAGGAAGCACATGGTCAAATTAAATTACTGACACAAGAAAAACAAAAAATATTTGACCTTATGTTATTAATAAAACGGTATAGCAATATTATTCTAAAAATAACTTTCATAGTTGTCATGGTAACACTTTTTGGCTAATGCTGCTTTCTTGAGGAAATATATGGAAAATCAATTAAGACTACCAAATATATATCTTTAGGACCTTGAAACACAGATACATATATGTAGCATAAGAAAAAAATCGGCCGGGATTTAATGATAGTGTAACCATGGAAACAACATACAGCAGCAGTTAGAGATTGTGTGGTAGTAAGACTCAGATTTTGCAGATTTTTATACATATTTTTCTCTATAATTTGCTAAGCAAAATTCTTTTTTTTTTTTTAGAATTAAATTTGAATTTTTGAAATGTTGAAATAAGGACCACACCATTGCCTTCAAAAATGCTCTCCAGTTATATAGAATTGTGCTCTTAAAATATGAAGATAACTTAAACAGTATTCAATCTCGAAAGTCCAATGAAACGATACAAATTCGGAGCAGAGCAAACACGGACCTCAAAATTTAGAGGTGGCAACAGGTGCCATGGAGGAGTGAGCATCCCCTGCCGACTGGTCACACCCACCGTGTGCTCCTTGTCATGATCGGAAAAAAGTGTATGAATAACGGCCTAACAATTAGTATGAAAAACGTCAGTCAGCATTTGACTGAGTGATAGGTTGTAAGTGCTGACAAGGTCATTGTATCGACCATAAGGGCCGGTACACACGGTAAGGCTTGCCTTATAAGTCATGGAACTTAAGTTCTAGCCTTACCGTGTGTACAACCTTAATACATGTTTTTTCAAGCCTTCGAAGTCTGACTTACGAATAGAGCACTGCTCTATTTCTTAATACAAGACTTAGCTGACAAGTTCCTCTTAACCAATGAAATCCACTCACACAAATTTCAAGCTATTATTTTTTTATCAAACACGTGGGTAGATTAAAGGGAACATGTAAGTACGTTCGAATAAGATAATGAAAATATCCGCAAATGCTTTTGTTCAACCTCCTCTTTTTCAAGAAGTGTGATTGCACTGGTCTGTAAAATTATTTCAAAGTCCTAGCAAGTAATTATAATCTATACTTCTATTTTAATGATGTGCACTGTTTACGCCTCAAAAGTTTACACGTGGAATTTATGGAAATGTTGTTTATAATCTTGTAAGTCATGCCTTAGCGAGAGCCGTACGTCCTGCAAAATGTAAGGTTTTAGACTTAAAAGGCAAGCCTTACCGTGTGTACCGGCCCTAAAACTTGCGAAATGATGACTTCTGTTCAAACGAGGCTAATGATATCCTTGTTTCATCAATTTGTTTGTCAATAGCTTGCCTTGTTTTAGAAATTGTTCATACGTAGAGCATGCTCAACTGAGAGACATAAACTCCATATACAGATGATAAGGGTATAATGTTACATAAGTAAGGGAAGTTGACGATTGAAAAGTTGACGTCATCACGTTTATATCATAAAGCTTTGTTAACGTTGTTGGATTACCATTAACGTCTTTTTCTAGTAAAATATCTAAATATGAAGCAGATGTGTCAGACTCAGTGGTATCTTTTAATTCAAGCTCACTGGGATAGGGATATATCGTATCGACACAGGAATGGAAATGACTATTATTAATTGATAATACGTCGTCGATATATCGAAATGTCCAGTTGAAGACCACAGCAAGTGTTTTCTTCTTCTCATGTAGAAGTTTTTGAATAAATTCTGATTCATATAAATACAAAAATAAGTCTGCTAATAACGTGGGTGCAATTGGTACCCATGGGAATTGCAACAGATTGTTGGAAGGCCTAAACTACATAGCTATTGTCAATCAGAAACTCAAGCATCTTTTTAATATCAACTTCAGAGTACCTGTGTGTACAATCAGAATGCTTTTTTACAGAATAATTTTGCAAATGACCAGTGACAAGTTAAGTATATTTACGAGTTCTATGTTCATTGAAAAAGCAGCTGTCTATGATGTCAAA